GGGCTCCTGCATGAGCACCAGTTTGGTTCACCTTCAGAAATAAAACCCCATGAGAGCCCAACGGAGTTAGCACACTCAGGGGACGCGGGGGACACGGGAGGCACCCACTGCCGCCACCACTTACTTTCTGCCCGATTTGCCATTGACGCGGAGCAGCCAGGGCTGGTCCTCGGGCCGGAACTCCTTGAGGACGATGCCGTACTTCTTCCTCCTCGCCTCCTCGCGAAGCTTGCGGTTGAACTCGCTGCCCGCGCCGGACTCGGGCATCTCTTCCTCTTGGTAAATCTTCTTGTTGCTCAGGTCTCGCTCCAGTCGGGCCTGGGGCAACAGGGCAGGGCGGCCAGGAAACAGACACTTTCAGCGGGGTGCCCGCCTTTGCTTGAGCTCTGCGCCCCCTCCCCAGAACACCCTTGACCCCCCTTCTCCCAGGCTGAGCTGCCGACGTTCAGAGCTAACCTCCAGCTGAGCAAAGCAGAAAAAGGGGTAGAATACTGGCCTGTATGTCTGTGTGTCCAGACACTGTGTGTCTGGGAGAAGGCATGTGGTTAAGCCTCGTACTAGGTTTATTTTGCAGCTTTTAAAAGTTTGGAACTATTTCTTTTTTTTCTTTTTTTTTTTTAAGATTTTATTTATTTATTTGAGAGAGAGACAGTGAGAGAGAGCATGAGTGAGGAAAAGATCAGAGGGAGAAGCAGACTCCCCGTGCAGCTGGGAGCCCGATGCAGGCGGGACCTGAGCCGAAGGCAGTCGTCCAACCAACTGAGCCACCCAGGCGTCCCAGTTTGGAACTATTTCTAAATCAACAGTTTAAAAATAAATAAATAAATGGATCATTTTGGTGAGAAAACAAAGAAAACAACCTGCTTGGAACTGGCCCACTTCTCTCTCTGCATTGAGATGTCATTAAAGGCTGTTTTCCAAATTTGGATCTCCAGGCAATTCGGCAGCAGGTAAGAAATTCTGAGACGTGCACACTGCTTCCCCAGTGGGGGTGAGAGGCCCCACACGAGCCCTTTACAGCACCACTGTCTGCAGCAGCAGGAGACTGGAAGGGAGTCTGTGCACATCAGCAGGGGGCAGGGTTAACTTAGCTACCTCCAGACACCACCTCCAGACACTGGAGGACCAAACAGCCAAAAAGAGGAGGGAAAGCAAAGTTTTATCAGCATGTGGCCACGCCCAGCCATTTACCTATCATTATACTGGCCAACAACGCCAGCATAATCATCAGCTGGGCCTTCCAGAAAAAGCCTGCTGACCCGATATAAAGGACAAGAATGAGAATGGCGGGCATTCTCAGCAGCCCACACCACGAGCTGGAGGCCGATGGAACAAAACCTTGGAAATGTGAGGGAAAAGGGCTACCAAGCTAGCATTCGATCCCCGGTCAAGCTACCCAGGCTGTGGCCACCCCATGAATGGGAGGAACCAGTGTCCTTCCCGCACCTTTTCAGGGAGCCAGCCCTGGGTGCGATTCATTGCTAAAGGGGGGTAAAGAGGCCTGATTCCCTGAAGGTGGTCACCCCAGAGGGCAGGGCCCCTGCCGGATGGTTCACCTCTAGCCCAGGGGGTGGTCTCCGGGGACAGCTGCTACAAAGAATGCATTTGGCAGGGGTAGGTTTCTGCCCAGGAGTTGTCCTGGGTGGGGAGTGGCTATTAGGGGAGGGGACGTTCCTCGTGGTTGAGAGCGATTAGACACCTGTACCTGCCTCCTCCCCTGGGTGATTAGTGACAACCCAGGGGATTTGTTCTTCCCCAGGGAATGTAATCCCCTTCTAAGATTCTGAGGGTTCCCATGACGATCAGGGAACAGGATATGTGCAAGGTCCTGGTGGCTGGGAGGTCACGTGTCTCAAGAGGTCATCAGTACTCAGGTGCTGCACCTCAAGGTGATGGGTAACGAGGGGCACGGCCCCTCCAAAGGGACACGTGACTGAGGGGTAGGCTCCTCTGGGTTCTCAGGGGTTGGGGGGAGAGGGGCCCTCCTACTTAATGAAGGATGGAAGGTGGTATGTTCCCAAAGTATTTACCAAGTTATTCCTCTTAGGGGTGAGTGTTGTTTGGGGGCTGGGTACCCCCGATGGATGAGTTATTTCTCTCGTGGATGATCAGTGGTAAAGGAGGTCCCCCCACTGAGTGATCAGGGATTTGGAAACACTGCATCCTCTCTGGATAATTCAGGTGGGACCAGAGGTCGGGGAAGCGCGTTAGTCCGTATATGAATGGTGTGCAGGTGGAGATGCTGGGAGGCAGGCATCCTGCAAGAGGAGGGGGTGCCCCGAGCAAGCATCCACCTGCCCAAGGTCTGATGGTCTCATCTGCTCAACTAGAGGAAGTGACCTTTAAAAATAGTCAAAAGAGAGACCTGTGTTGGAAAACAAGATTGGGCAGTAGGAGCCGCCCAACTGAGAGAAGGCCAGAAGCTGCCCCCCTTAGACTCAGGGCCAACTCCTCTGCTGGGCCAGTCCAGGCTCCGTGGCTTTAAATGCCACCCCAAATACCCAGATGCTCCCTTCCAGCCTCCCAGCTCATATGCTCAACTGCTTACTTCCCTCCCTTCTCCTCTGGATGTCTAATACACGATGTTGGGCCCACAGTTCCCAAATACTCCATCCATATGGCCCCGTCATCCCTCAACATCCAGTCATTAACAAATCCTGTGGGCGCTACTTCGAAACACCCTAGAATCCACCCACTTCTCATACCCCTGTTTGCTCCAGGCCCAATGGTCATTCCCCGGGACCCCAGCCAATGCCTCCACCCTGCGCACACTGTCTGCCCTTGATCCCACAGCCTGTCTCCCGACAGCGCCTGGATCACCTTATACCTGCTCTATTTAAAACCCTTTCATGAAGGGGCGCCTGGGTGGCTCAGTGGGTTAAAGCCTCTGCCTTCAGCTCAGGTCATGATCCCAGGGTCCTGGGATCGAGCCCCACATCGGGCTCTCTGCTTACCCCCCTCTCTCTCTCTGTCTGTCAAATAAATAAATAAATAAATCCTAAAAAAAAAAAAAAAAAACTTTAATGAAAATAAATAAATAAATAAACCCCTTTAATGGCTTCTGCTAGAGACTGAATGTCTGCATTCCACTGCAAAATGCATAGGTTGAAACCAAACCCCCAGTGTGATGGCACTGGGAGGTGGGGCCTTGGGTGGGTGGGGCTAAGTCACTAGGGTGAAGCCCTCCTGAATGAGATCAGTGCCCTCATGAGAGGCCCCAGAAAGCTCCCACACCCCTTCTGCCACATGAGCACACAGTGAAAAGACAGCCATCCATAAACCAGGGGGCAGGCCCTCACCAGGCCGAAAATCTGCTGGCACCTTGATCTTGGACTTCCCAGCCTTCAGAACTGTGAGAAATAAATGTGTGTTTATAAGCCGTCCGGTGTGTGGTATTCTGCTACAGTAGCACCACCCGAGAGTGGCAGCTTCCAGAAACCATCTGTGGGACGCAGCCCCTTCCGTTGCCCAGGTAACTCAGGGCCAAACATGCCTGTCAGTGGACATAGCTTCTCAATGTTCTCCTTTCACAAGGCCTCCGGTGGGGCCTGCCAAATCTTCCTCCCAGGGATACCCAGCAGCTCAGCCTGGGCCTTAGTACCTCATTTTATCTCCACTTGGGAACGTGGAGGAAACCAAGCCTTAGTTACTACTGGTACTAAATGTCTACTGCAACCACCAAGGGCCAGATCAGGCTCTCGCTCACGACAGGGATTTACCTGGTTCCAGTTAGCGAAGTTGACTTTATCAGCTGCGTTGAAGGCCATGATGTTGTATTTTTTAGTTGTGTTTCTGGAATGGACAAGAAAAGGCACTGCTCAGTCCATCGTTCATTTAACAAACCCTCCCTGGCTCAGCAAACCTGTGGACCCACAAAAGCCCTCAGGGGCTCCCCGACTGTCAGGTAACAGATCCAAACTCTCCCCACCGGGTGCTGAAGAAGAGCAGAAGGAGACACAGAGATCTGGGGGCGCCCAAGATGTGGGAGTAATGGGGAACTCTGCCCTGGGGATGGGGGAGGGCAGGCAGGGAATGCTTCCCGGAGGAAAATCCTGGAACTGGGTTTTAGAGGACCAAGAAGAGTCACAGCTGGGGAAACGGCATTCCTGCCCGAGGGAATGCCAGGCCGGGAGGCTTCATCCTACTGTCTATTACTGTACTCATTCATTCATTCTTTCTGTTCAAAACACAGGATGCCCCCCGAGGGCCTCGGCTCAAGCCCAGCCCTGTCCCCACGTCCCTGCCAGTTAGGAGGGGGAATCACAGCAGGTGCCAGGCAGGCCTCCAAGCTCAGGAAGGTATTGAGCGGGGAGGGCTCAGGGACTTACTTGGGAACTCGAACGACATACTCGGTGACATTCTGGGTGCTGGGGCCCTGCGGGGAGAGCAGGAAGGACGGTGAGTAAGGGGTGTGCAGAGGCCGCCGACGGGACCCCCGCACTCCGCCGCATACTCACGAGGGCCGCCATGGGTGACGATCGGTGGTTCGGGTCCGTCCGCGCTCCTCAGTCCCGGGCAAGCCGCCCTCGCGGTGTCGGGTGTCGGGTCTCTGGCCGCGACGGAGGACCCCAAGCCCGAGGGGCCGCCGATCCCGGGAGCAGCTCCCCAGCAGCAGCGCTCAGTCAGCCGGCCGTCTCGGGGACCTCTCCGGCCGCGTCTGCGCCTGCGCCTAACCTGGAAACGAAACTCGGGCCGCGTCGCGATGGCAGCCTCCTCCGCCTCAGGTTTCCCTGTCTCTTTCCAGAGAGAAGACCTCAGGCCGAACCCGAACTACAACACACCCTCTCTGCGGCTCGCGTGGGGTCTCCCTCTTCTATATAGCGCGGTTAATTTAATCAGCCCTGTGGCCACGCCTCCCTTGACGTCACACCCGGAACCGCGGGGCATCCTGGGAGGGGAGGGAGACCCTGGCCTTCCTCGCGAGCTCCCGGGCGCCTGGCGCATGCGCCACTCCACTCCGGAAGTGAGTCCGAGGAGGGCGCGTCACCATAGCGACCGAGGCCTCTGCCGCAGCTCGCGGCTGCCGCTCCACCTGAGCCTCTCTGGGTTCATTTCCTCCTTCTGCCCCGGGGAGACTTCATCACCTCGCCAAATGATCGGGCCCTTGTGACGTTGAGCCGAGCTAGCAGGAGTCAGGGCTGGATGGGCATGGGGCGCTACTGCCCACGAGCCGCTGGTGGGATGGGTCTGTGGACGTCCAAGCTGCCCCAGAGGGGCAGGGCCCTGAGACCCCAGGAGAAGGGTAACGTCGCGGGGGTGGCTGGCTCACCCGGGGAAGGAAGGAGGCTGTGAGGGGCATGAGGGAGGTGCAGGTGCCGCACACCCCAAGTCCAGTGTGCACACGCCCCCCCCCAACCCGTCACAGGAACACAACTGCACATGCTCAAGGATCAGCCGTGCTTCAGTCCACTCGGGCGCCCGCTGTGCGGGGTTCTGGGCACAACGCGGTGAATGTGTCCGACGAGCTCCCCGGCCTCCTAGAGATGACAGTGTAGTGAAGGAGACCGTCTCAGGAAACGGCATCTACGGGCAGAAGGGAACAGGGCTGTCACAGGGAAAGAGGAACCGGCTCTGAGGGCTGGAGGAAGAGGGGAGGTTTAAGCTGGGCCCTGTGGGGTTGCCTGGGGATTCACTAAACAGAGGGGGAGGGAAGCAAGAACCCAACATTGCATTATAAAGGGCTGCACTCCATGGTCATGCCAGGTAGCTGCGGACGTTCATTTACTCCTCACCCACGCCTGCACGTCAGGAACTGTGCCCTGTAGTAGAGGTTTGAGGGCCAGCAAGACAGAAATCCTCCTTGCCCTCCTGGGGTACCGAGGCTGGCAGGGAAGACAGACAAGAACAAGTGAACAGGCAGAATCATTGCTATTCATGGCTGCTGCTGTGGAAGACGTGGGGCTCTGGGATGGAATAATGGGGCGGGAGGCTCTTAGAGAAAGCGTGATGGCTGGGCTGTGACCTGAAGGCCGTGGAGCGGGGAATTACCAGGCAGGGGGAGCAGCAAGAGAGGGTTGAGTATGACAAGTTCAAGGGACAGAAGGGGCCACTGGGGCGGGACCAGAGTGGAGGGAGAGGAGGGTGGTGTGGGATGGTCTGGAGGGTGGGCGAGCCCCCGCCCCGCTCTGAGCCTGTTTCCTTAACTGGAAAGTGGGCTGGTAGAGTCATTGAGATTCTTCAAGGAGATCCTGTGTGCAGAGGGCCACAGGGTCTGCTTGGGTTCATATCTGCTTCACAGTGACCCATGGCAGCACTAAACGGCATGCCATGTCTAGATATACCATTGGGCATGACTACGGACCCTCAGATGCCATCCTGGGGCAAAAGCGGGTATGTCAGGATACCCAAGTCCAGTGTCACTCACCCAGGGACACACACTAGGTGGTGGACCCAGTCACAACGGTGCATGCTGGCCCCTGCAGGCACCAAACCCTCTCCCACCTCTTCCCCGGGCCCCTCCCCAGACATCCTCAAGTCCCCCCTGATCATCTTCGTGATGGGCGGCCCAGGTTGTGGCAAAGGGACACAGTGCAAGAACATGGCAACCAAATATGGCTTCTGCCATGTGGGGCTGGGCCAGCTGCTGCGGCAGGAGGCCCAACGCAGTACCCGGTGGGGCCAGAAGATCCATGACATCATGCTGCAGGGGCTCCTGGTGCCTACGGTGAGAGCTCACAGGCTCCGGGGAGCAGAGGGAAGAAGAAGGGGGCACATAAGAAGGAGTTTCCCTGGAAGCCCTGTAGAAGCAGATAGGCCCAGAAGGCCACAGCTCCTGACCTGGCCACTGCCTTGGTGCCCTGGGTCTCCATGTCCTCAGCTGTAGAAAGGGGAGGCCAGCTGGACCCACAGCAGGAGTCTGTAGCCAGAGTTGGCTGACGTCATTCCTATCAAGCTCATAGCAAAGTGCCCAGCTCTTCACAAGCACTGGGTAAAGTTTGCTAGTACTTATTCCTCTCGTGACCTTGGGTGTCTGTATTACCGGCCCCTTCTATACCTGTTTCCTCACCTGTAAAATGAAGGTCACACCTGTCCCCACCTGTAAGATGGTAGCAATAAGTAAACGAAGCCTCGCAAGGTTGGCACATGGTAGCCATTTGCCCAGTAGACGGGCTCCGTGCATCAGAGTGGCCCCAGGGCACCAGGGCGGACCCGGAATCCCAGGCCCCGGGCAGGGCAGATACCTGAAGTTCAGACCGGGGAAGAGAACTTGACAACGTGGCTGTGTAGGTGAGGGAAACTGGGGCACTGAATCTGCCACCTCTTTCCTTCCCAGGGCATCATCCTAGACACGATCAGCAATGCCATGTTATCTCGCCCGGAGAGCCGGGGCTTCCTCATCAACGGCTTCCCGCGGGAGCTGAGGCAGGCCAAGGAGTTCGAGCGCATTGTGAGTGACCCCTGGCTGTGTGAGTGTGTGGTGAGGTGTGAAACTACGCCTCCCTCCCCACCTGGGATGGAGTCCAGGCGGGGTGGGCCTCGTGGAGGGGGGAGGAGATGGCGAGGGGGTAAGGGCGTTTTATATGGTCAAGGGACAGCTGGGAGATTGCTGGAAGCTTCTAGAATCTGGGTGGATAGCTGGTGAGCTGGCCGGGACAAAGTCATATTAATATATTTTTTTAAGATTTTATTTATTTATTTGACAGACAGAGATCACAGTAGGCAGAGAGGCAGGCAGAGGGAGAGGGAGAAGCAGGCTCCCCACCGAGCAGAGAGCCCGATGAGGGGCTCGATCCCAGGACCCTGGGATCATGACCTGAGCCAAAGGCAGAGGCTTTAACCCTCTGAGCCACCCAGGCGCCCCAAAATTAATATCTTCCTGCACATAAATGATCTGCCTGCTGAGTGGCACGTGGGTTTAGCCTCATGTCTGGGCCATGAGGATGAAGCGTGGTTGAATAATTCATCTGTGTATATAACCACCTGTCTCCAGGTAGCTTGAGAACGGGCTGTGTCCTTAGGCGTTCACGAGACAGACTCAGTCCCTGCTCTTAGGATGCCAACAGACGGGCAGTGACCAATGCATGACTGGCTGAACAAAACAGAGACGTTTCTGGCAGCGGTAAACACAGTGAAAAGCGAGAGACAGAATAACATCCTGGAGGGTCACAGGGGGCTGTTTGGGTTGGCCTCCTTGAAGCGAGGACAGGGGACAGCTGAGCTGTGCCAGCAGGAGCCAGCGGGCGCTGGCGAGGCGGGCTACCGCTCTCCAGGCTCCCTCTGCACGCCCGCGGTCTGACTTCAGGATAGGGCCCCTCCACACACCTCAGCAGCCACACATAACACAGCAGTGTCTGAAACGGCTGAGCGGGGACGAGAGAAACTGTGGCAGGTTGTCAGCCTCCAGGCTTTTCTGGAACTTGCTGGATTGGGTCGAAGTGCTTTCAAAGAAGTCGCCCGGGGCTGGGACAGGTGGGGCCCTGCCCTTTGTCCACACTGCTTGGGAGCAATTCGAAACGACTTGCAGGGCAAATATTGGGTTCCCTCTTCTGGTCTAGGCACTCTGAGGGCAAAGGTCAGGCTCGTGAGTATCTCTGTCCCCATCAGCCCTGGGCCAGCGCCCGGTCCCCGGTAGGCCCCGGCCCTCGAGGCCAGCTCAGCGGATGCCGCAAGGCCTGGGGACAGAAGCTGCGCACTCCTGACCCTTGGGTCGCACGTGGCCCCCTGATGGGTTTGGTTTGGACTCTACAGGTTTTCAAGACTTTTTTCCTGAAGTAGTGGCCAACCTTCGAGACTCGGGAGATGCTGTCTCAGAACTCCCGCTTCCCTTGAAAATCGCCCTGCTTGGCAGGCATGGGCCCTGCGCGTCCCCATGGCAACAGCAGCGTGAACGCATCCTGAGCTTTGTCCTGGGCCCCGCACTATTCTTGACACTACGCGGAGGAGCTCTGATCTTTTGGAACATTCCAGAAAAACGTCTCTTGCACCATTAGCCTCCTGCTTTTTTACCGAGGGATCGGGCGACTTGTGCAGGGTCGTGCAATTCAGGTGGTGGGCGCAGGCCTTCCTTGGGCCCCAGCAGCTGGTTCTGAGGCCTACATTTTTCACCATGTCAGCGCGGGACCCCTCTGTGCCTCGCGTTGGGCTCCCCCTTCCTCCGGTGGAGGGTTGCCTCTCTGTTATGGAGGCCGAGCGCCACCTGCCACGTAGGATTGTGCTCGTGCTGTGCTTTTATGCTGAGAGGAATAGAACATGTACTTTCCTCTTGTGCCCGTGTGGCTGCCAGATGTGAAAAAAAAAAATGCAATATATCGGGGTCTATGTTAGGTGAGTGCATTTTCTTTGTGGGGAATTTTCTAGATCTCTGAGAGCTGCCCTGCCCCTTCAGCCTTTGAGGACCCTGTAGGCCCCTGCCTTAGGCCTGACCCGGGTGTCCCCGGAGGCACCCAGCTCGGCCCTTCACGCCCCCACCCCGCTGGGCTGCAGCGTCTGTTTTAGGGTGGTCTCTGATGCTGATGTGGGTTTGAGCCAGTGAGACTGGCCCTCAGGTCCCGCTTGGTCACTTTCTCCACCTCCAACTCAGCCTCCCAAGCCTCAGGGTCCTCATTGGTGAATGTGGACCGAAATGCTACCAGCGTCTCCCCACACCGGGGACACCAGGAAGGCTGATTCCTGAGACAGTTTCTGGTCTGTTTCCAAGATTGCTTCTGTCCCCTGTGCACCTGTCTGAGAGCACCGCTCCAGGGGGCCGAGGTCCCAGGGTGGATGGCCTATGTCGAATAAGCACGTGGGGACTCCCCACCGGGAAGCCCTCTGCTCAAGCTGCGGCGAGGGGGACCAGATGACCCCCTGCAGCTCCAAGGAGTATCGTCAAGGTTGGATGTGGTTGGAGCATCCGCGGCCAGTCGCCCTGAAACGCCCAGACACGGGAGGTCTGTTTCTCTGGGTCCGTGTTTCTCCCCAAAGTGCCACCTGCAGGAAGACTCCCCTGTTCATAGAGGAATTTTAAGTAATTGTGTATTTGTTAAAACTTTTTGTTAATCAGAGCCTTGCGGGAAATTGCCCTGTGCCCTTCACCGCGTTCCCTGCAGAGGGTGACATCCTACTCCGTGGCCACCCGGCATGGCCACCAGGCTGTCGGGGTCGCTGTGTAATTGATGTTCGTTCTCTCCGGAGCAAGTGATGCTCTCTTTTTCCATTTACCTAAGTGTCTCTCATTGCTCTCCTCCCCGCCTGGCAAAACGTAGAAAAAAGGAATTGGGTGAAGTCCGTGTCTTAAGGAACAGCGCTGACCATGACGTAGAGACTTGTCTGTGGACACTGACCCCACGAGGCCTCGTGCTCAGAAGCACCCAAGAGAAATGAAGGTGCCCGCGTCCTGTTCACCGTCCTTGCCAGGAAGGGGAGGGGCTTATGCACGTGTGTGCGCGAGGGCTTCCAATTTTTGGTGTCTCTCTGGTGCCAGGTTTCAAACACGCACACAACGGGAACGATCTAAGGGATCGCCCTGTCCCCAGTCAAACCATCATCCAGGGTTGGCCACACTGGCTTCATCTGCGCCAAAATGCCCTGTCACCGGCGCCTGGGGGCTCAGTGGGTTCAGCGTCTGCCTTCGGCTCAGGTCATGATCCCAGGGTCCTGGGCTCCCGGCTCAGCAGGGAGCCTGCTTCTCCCCCTCCCTTTGCCCTTCCCTCCTGCTCTCTCTCTCTCAAATAAAGAAATAAAATCTGGGGAAAAAAAAAACCGCATACATTGGGGCGCCTGGGTGGCTCAGTGGGTTAGGCCTCTGCCTTCAGCTCAGGTCATGATCCCAGGGTCCTGGGATCAAGCCCCACATCGGGCTCTCTGCTCAGCGGGAAGCCTGCTTCCTCCTCTCTCTCTCTCTGCCTGCCTCTCTGCCTACTTGTGATCTCTGTCTGTCAAATAAATAAAATCTTAAAAAAAAAAAAAAACCCCGCACACAAAAGAAGTCTTGTTGCAGTTGCCGACTGTGTGTTTGAAGCAGCTTCCAGGTCCGGTTCTGGGGTCTCCCTCCCGCCGACACTCCCGACATGGTTAACACTCTTGCCTCAGGACCGTCCGATGTCCAGGCCACCTCTCAGTTTCCCCAGTGCCTGAAGAACGTCTCTTTGACTTCCCTCTGGTTAGATTTGCAAGGAAAACGAGGGCCACGCCTCACTAGTTGTCTCCTAACCCAAGCCAGGTGGTCAGCCGCGCTCGCTTCCCTCCTGCCTGTGACTCACCGGAGGGCCTGGGGCGCACTCGGACTTGTCCAAGGGCTTCCTGCCTCGGGGAGCTCCTGAGGTCATCTCTCCATCCTTCGCTGGCGCACACGCAACGTTAACTGCCGACCCGCTCAGATTCAGGTTCAATACATTGTGCGTGTGCGTGTGTGTGTGTGTTTTAACCCGTAAATATTTCAGTATACATTTTCCAAAAGATTCGTATAAAATCAAAACACTTCCCCTTATCCCGCGTTAGTATCTGTCCCGTCCTCAAATGATACTCAAATTTGCGTGAACATCTTCAAAATCTTTGTCTTCTGACATCTGACTCTAATGAGGACTGAGATAAGGCCGACACCGCCGCGGGTCACTAGGGTCTCCCGTCCCCGCCTCTTCTGTTTTCCTTGCCGTCGTGTTTACCGAAGAAGCCGCGTCTTCGGGTCTCTATCTCGCACAGCCTGGATTTCGCTGATTGCGAAGCGTTGTGGACCATGTTCCTCTCTCCGCTAGATTTCCTATAAATCGATAGGATGTTTGATAAATCAATGTTCCCACATTGATTAACGGGCATTCTTGCCTAAAGAAGAAATCTCTGTCCTCATCGAGGGCTGTTGGGATTCTCCAGAAACACAGTTTCTACCAGACAGGTGGGAGAGAAGCTTAATCCCTTCCTGGACGAAGGCCACTTTTCAGATGAGGCGTTGGTGTTCTGGTTCCTTCCCATGGTGACCACCACGTTGGTCATTTTTGCCTTCCTTTGTTTTGTTCTCTTTCATCACTAAGAACTCACGGATCTTTGTCGCTGCCGTCCAGCGAGCTGTCACTTCGGTGGCCGGGGGCATCCTTTCTTGCTGACACACGTGTCCTCTGACACAGCCACCTTTCCCTCTCATCCCCACCCCTGCCCTCTCGATTTCTGGCCGACTTCCCACCCCCACCTTTCACACTTCCAGCTGAATCCTAGAACTGGCTGTGCCTCAAAGGAGCCCTCTTTCAGTGGCGTCCAGTCTGGGGGCCGGGGTGCGCATCGCCACTGAGTTGTCATCGTTTCCAGGCCTTTCCAGGGGACAGAGTTGGAAAACACAAACTTGTGAAAGTAGAAAAAAAATAACCAGTTCATACTGATGTTTCTAGCTCACACCATGACCGTGCCTTCTCTTTTTCCCTAAAACTACAAATGCGGTCATTTCCATTATTCCATCATTTGTAGGATAGTTTCCAAGGAATATACCCATATTAACTACTAAGAATAAAATGACCGAAGGGAGCTTAAGATTTCTCTGCAGCTCCGATTTTCCTTATACTATTCCTCCCTGTGGATGTACACTAAAAACACCGAGCTGCCCCAAATAATTATTTTCTCTGCATAGTTATGATGACAATAACACCCAGTTGGGTACATTTGTTTCGGTTTGGGGTGGGATATTTAGGGATTGCTTTGTTAAATTTAACTTTTAAATTTGCGTATTACTTAATGATTCCAAAGTCAGCGCCACATAAAAAAGGTGTGCGGGAGAGAGCTTGTTTCCAGCCATCCCCGTCTGTCCCCAACCCCCCAGAGACTATCATTTTCATTAGTTTTGGGTTTGTCCTTCTGGTGTTTCATTGTGCAAATATAAAGGAAGTGTGTGTGTGTGTGTGTGTGTGTGTGTGTGAAAGAGAGAGAGATTCTCCTCACACAAAAACTAGCATTCTGTATATACTTGTCTTCTTTTTTTTTTTTTTTTCTTTTTAACTTTACATTATATCCTGCAGGGGCGCCTGGGTAGTTCAGTGGGTTAAACCTCTGCCTTTGGCTCAGGTCATGATCTCAGGGTCCTGGGATCGAGCCCCGCATTGGGCTCTCTGCTCAGCGGGGAGCCTGCTTCCCCCCCACCTGCCTGCTGCTCTCCTAATTGTGATCTCTCTCTCTCTCTCTCTGTCAAATAAATAAATAAAATTTAAAAAAAATTAACAGTGTATCCTACAGCTCTCCTGTTGGCATCAAAGACTTCCCAGTTCCCTTTCTGGTCCATGGTGTGGTGCTGCCATTGTTCAACTAGCTGTTCCCCCAGAGACATAAATTGTCAAACAACATATTATTGGTAGACAATAAGCTGTTGGCAGTCTTGTGTCACTACAAGCAATGCCACACAAAGTGACCTATGCGTGGCATTTTGTATTTTTTTAATATCTTTACGATAGGTCCTTTGGAGTGGGTGTGTCAGATGAAAGAGAAACGTGTGGGTCGTCCTGCTAGCTCCCACCACGGTCTTTGTTTTGCATTGCCACCAACACACCCACACCAGCAGAGGACGCTGCCACACTTCTGAATGTTTGTCACCCTGCTTGGGTGTGAAATGGTGTTTTGGGGTTGTTTGAAATGGGCGTTTCTTTTACTATGGTGAGGTCGAACATCTTCCCCAAGGCTTAAGGGCCATTTTTATTTCTTCTGTGTGCTCTTTATATTTAGCTTTTTTTTTTTACCCCTGAAAGATTTTTGGTCTCTTCTTGATTTCTAGGAACTCTTTACATATTAAGGCTATTAGCCCTTTGTGGTATGGGTTGCAAATCTTTCCCCCATTGCTTTGTCAGTTATCTTTTGACTTTGCTTTATGGTGTCTTTTTATCATGCAAAAGTTTGTTTTTAATCAAATTTATCATATTTTGTTATTTCTTCTAGATTTTAAGATCACCCCCCCACCCCAAATCCTAGGCTTATAAGGGACTCTACTCAGGGTTTATTTAGTACTTGTATGACCTCCTTTCTTACATTGATATCTCTGATCCATTTGGGACTTATCCTAGTTTTTGGAATGAGCTAAGAGTTCAATTTAACCTTTTTCCATTCAGGATCTAGTTGTCCCAGAATCATCCAGGTGAAAGGTTGTTCTTTCCCCCATTTATTTGGGATACCACCCAAATACCATGTAACATACCATGTTGATACCATGTAACAACTTTCCATATTCACTTGGGTCAATTTCTGGATGTTACTCTGTTCCAGGGTCTGTTTGTCCCCCTGTACCCTGCTGTTTTAGTTATGGCAAATTTATTAGGCTCTAATATCTGTTAGGGTTCAATATTGCCTCTCCCACCCCTACCAGCCACTGGTTTTCTTTGCCTAGGTTCTCCTGGACATCCCTGCTTGTTTTTGTATACAAATGTTAGAGTCAACCAATTCAACTAAAAAATATGTTATCAGGGCGCCTGGGTGGCTCAGTGGGTTAAGCCGCTGCCTTCGGCTCAGGTCATGATCTCAGGGTCCTGGGATCGAGCCCCGCATCGGGCTCTCTGCTCAGCAGGGAGCCTGCTTCCCTTCCTCTCTCTGCCTGCCTCTCTGCCTACTTGTGATCTCTTTTTTTTTTGTCTGTCAAATAAATAAATAAAATCTCTAAAAAAAAATATGTTATCATGTTGAAATTACAAGCTGATTTGGGAACTCTTATCTTTATGATGTGGTCTTCCTATCCAGGCACATTTATATCTTTCTTTTGTTCAAGTCTCCTTTGAGTTATTCAGGGGTAACCTTATCCAAGTTTTCCTTAAAGATCGTCCTTAAGACTTTGCATATTTTTGGAAAAGTTTTGCTTGAGCTTTATATTTTTCATTTTGTTGCTGTTCTCAACGGGGCCTTCTTTTCTAACTGGTGGTTTCTGTATACATGTAGGCTGCTCACCTCTGTAGGTTAATGCGATATCCTTTTATTTTTAGCGAATATTTTATCAAATTCTCTGAAGTCCATACTGGTTTCTCTATTGATTTTCTTGTGTTTTCCAGAAGTGTAATCACATCACCTGCAAACACACATGGTTCTACCTCCCTTCTTTCAAATCCAGGTTTCTCAAAGTGATTTTTGTCTCATTGCTTTCGCTGATCTTCTCATACCCTACTAAGTCATAGGAGCAGGAGTGGGCAATTTTGTCTTGTTCCCAACTTCAACGGGAAAGCAAATTTCCATTAAGATGCTGGTGAAGATATTTATTAATTCCTAACCTCTTTTTTTTTTAATTTTTTAGATTTATTTATTTATTCGACAGACAGAGATCACAAGCAGGTAGAGAGGCAGTCAGAGCGAGAGGAGGAAGCGGGCTCCCTCCTGAGCAGAGAGCCTGACGCGTGGCTAGATCCCAGGACCCTGGGATCATGACCTGAGCCGAAGGCAGAGGCTTTAACCCACTGAGCCACCCAGGTGCCCCAATTCCTAACCTCTTTGAAAATTGGGAGTGTGTGCTGGATTTGGTTAATTGCCGTTTCTATGTTTATGAGGATGACCATATGCCTTTTCCCGCAGAGGTTGATACAACAAATTGTATTGAACCATCCTTGCTTTCCTGGAATGAATCCCACTTGGCTGTAATTTTTTTTTTTTTTTAATGCATCACTGAAGTCTATCTTAGAAGGAAGTTCTGGAGGAACTCGTAGGAGGTAGAGCTCACAGTGGACAGCCATGGAGATCTAGAAAGGTCTCCCTGAGAAGAGTCAGGGAGGGCAGAGCCGTGGGATGGGTGGTTGTGAGCTAGGGACTTTTGTATCTTACCCAGTGGAAGTATCTGGACAGCTTAAATCCATCTTAGAAGGAATTTTTCAATCCACACATCCATCAGCCTAGAACTAAGTTACGGTACATCCATACCGTGGAATACCGTAACAACCGGGCCCTCCTTATGTGCCGACATGGAACCATCTCCAGTTATACTGAGTGAAGTCGAAGACAAATCAGCATCTTCACCACTTGTATAAAAAAGGAGAAAAAAAGATATCGGAGCCCATTTGCCTTTATAGTATATGCCTAAATTAGGGGCGCCGGGGTGGCTCAGTCGATTAAGTGGCTGCCTTCAGCTCAGGTCGTGATCCCAGGGTTCTGGGGTTGAGCCCCGCATCGGGCTCTCTGCTCAGTGGAGTTGGCTTCCCCCTCTCCTTCTGCCTGCTGCTCTACTTGTGCTCTCTGTCAAATAAATAAAGCCAGTCTTAAATAAAATAAAATAAAATAAAATAGTAGGTAACTCCAGGAAGGAGTTGCTTCCAGTGAGGGTGAAACGGGGCGGCTGGGGATGGTGAGGGTGTCTTCACTCTTCCCTGTTAGTGTTGTTTATTTCTGAGCTCTGCCAAGGTCCTCTGATCTCAAAAAAATAAACATGTATGGGGCGCCTGGGTGGCTCAGTGGGTTAAGCCCCTGCCTTCAGCTCAGGTCATGATCTCAGGGTCCTGGGATCGAGCCCCACATCGGGCTCTTTGCTCAGCAGGGAACCTGCTTCTCCCTCTCTCTGCCTGCCTCTCTGCCTACTTGTGATCTCTGTCAAATAAATAAAATCTTTAAAAACAAAAAACATGTAAACAGCAACTCAGAGGTAAAGAATCAGAAGAACCCAGGGGGCCCGCACAATTCTGGACTCCTGATCTCAGGGTAGGGGCTCAGGGAGCCACTGCACCTAGCCTCTTCCTCACCCAGTCCCCTTTGTGGGTGCCTAGGTGGGCCGGGCCCCAGACGTCGTCATCGTGTTCGACTGCTCCATGGAAACAATGGTCCGGAGAGCGCTGCACCGGGGCCGCCTAGAGCACCGGGCGGATGACTGTGAGTCGGCCATCCGCCAGCGCCTGGAGACGTACTACACGCTGTGTCAGCCGGTCTTGACCTTCTATCAGCAGAAGAACCTGCTCTGTAATGTAGGTCCTCCCTGCTTGCCACTCACCTCCCCGAGAGCCAACTCCGCAGGGGACCAAGACAGCGGGTCATGCCATGGGCCACAGCCTGGGCCTCTCTGGGCCGGTTTCCCCACTGCGTACACTGGGAAGTTTGGGAAATTCCACTTCTTCCATCGGGCAGTTGGGGCACAGGACGTATGGGCACAGCTAGGACGTTTAAGGTCTGAACAGAATGACTGTCTCCCAAACTGCAACATTAACTGCATTTTAGAATGTATCTGCACAAAGCTTAGGACAACCAGTTAACCACAGCCAAGTCCAACCGTATACATTGCCCAGGGGGAAAGCAGGGCTCTTAATTCTTCAAGTGACCCATCTATCAAGACATTAAACTTTGCTGATGTCCCCATTTCCAGCTGAAGGCAGGAGTGTGAAAGGAGGGCGTCCTGTGGAACTAGCTTTGACCAGCGAAGTTGGGATGGGAGGGTGGGGGCCCCGGCCGGGGCAGCGATTTCCCGCGCCCTCCGCCCTCCCACCCTGCTCCAAGGGCCAGTACCAGGGACACGTCACACCGCGCTGCAGCCTTCCTGACCCGTTTACCTGTTCCCTTACTTGCATGGCCCAGGAACCACAGCTCCCGGTTTTTTGCTGGCACCTAATAAAGAGACCTGCTCACCTGCTTCCCCAGAACTGATCCTTTGCTCCCCCTCCTCTAGATCTTGGCGGAAGAAGCTCCAGCGAACATTTTTGCCAAGTGCTGCTCGGTCGTTGAAAGCCTGCAGTGATGGGAGGGGCTGGGGGCTCTGCCTTCTTCCTCATCCCAGAACCCACACAGGGCTCAGAAGGGGTGCAGCGCCGCTAAGGTACGGTATTTGGCGATGGCAGGCCGGGTTGTAACGTGAGCGCATCTCCCACTAGACCCCTGACCGACAGCCCCTTCCTGGGCCGTGGCACCCACAGGGGTGGGCTACGAGTTGTCGCGGGCTCCTGCCTGGTGCTGCCCTTCAAACCTGTGGGCCCAGGCTTCTGAAGGCGAAAACTGATCCGTGTTAGTGTTCAACGACAAGCCCAAAAAGAACATTCCAACCATATAGTGCTCAAGATGATTGGCCCTGGGCCAGACAGCTCAGAGGGCCCCTCAGTTCACTCTCCCATCTCCGTCCTCACCCTTCGGAGGCCACAGCCTCCCACCAAGCACTGGAACTGGTGCCATTTTTTTAACAGGCCTGGTTTCCACCTTGGGGCCCGGTGACACACTAGGCCCCAGCCAGGTGCGTATCAAGGCCAGCGTGGCTCCCAGGAGGTGTGCAGAGCCCCAGGGGGGCTGCGGTCACAGGCTGCATCCATGGAAACACCTGTCCCCAGAGATTCTCTTGGGTGTCTTGCTCCCCATGCTCCCAGACGGGAGAGTGGAATGAGAGAAGGCTCCACTGGGGCTCAACCTGCTAGTCCCCTCTCTGCCAGGTAACACCAGAAGAGCAGTCTCTGGGGGGTGCCCAGACCCCACTCTTATCGGCCAACCCGTTCCTCTTCAACTTGTTTCCTCTACAAACACAACTGCGGCCAGCACGCAGTTTTTAGACAAAAAGCACTTTATTTAACCAAAAAAAAAAAAAAAAAAAAAAAAAGGGGGGTTGGGGGAGTTAGGAAAGCACAATGCGCCTGCAGAAAACTATTTTTTCTTATAATTTTTTCTTAAAAAAAGAAAAAAAAGGAAGGAAAGAAAAAACACAACACAAAGCTTGTAATTTCCAATCACCATTATCAGGCTTTTACAACATCTATAAAGAACAAACAAACATCTGCTTCAAAACTCTACAGGGGGCAGGGGAGAGAGGAGGGAAATAAAGAGAGAGAGAGATAGAAAGAAAGAAAGAGAGAGACGGCACCCAGCAGACACGGGGAGATTTTGTTATCATTTATTTGTGAAGTTAAAAACGAGCGATAAAAAGTAAAAACTGCCATACAATTTTTGTTTTGTTCTCAATTTGTTTTCAGTTTCAATGTCCTCTTGAACAGTTGAAACCCAAGACCAGTCCCGGGATGGGGGGGGCGGGAGGGGCTGCAGGGGAGCCGAGCGAGGCAGGGGGGAGGAGGAGAGAGGAGGAGCAGAGGCCGAGGGGCTCGACTGGGGGAAGGGAGGGGGCCTGCGACAGCAACACCTGGTCCAAGGAATGTTCCAACTCTAACTAAAAAAAAGAAATAGCAAGAGTGACTTTTTTTCCTTTTTAAAAGTTTATTTTAAAAACATGAAGAGGGCCAAGGGTAGAAGGAAGAAAATGAATTGCTTTCCCCTGAAAGAGGCAGTTTCAGGAAGGGATAGAGATTTATATATATATATATATAAATTTTATAGGTTTTGTTTGCTTTTTGTGTTTTTTATATTTAAAATTTTTTTTTTTTGGCAGATTTAATTCTATCTTCTACGGCTGGCTCAACATGAAGGATCCCAATTTTGAAAGAAAAAAAGCATGAGACACACAGAATAAGCGAGAGAGTGAGAGCCCAGCATCGCCCAAGGCCATGACCAACAAGCCACTCACAAGGGCCCCCCTCACACCCCTCACGGCAGCCATCGCTCTCTCGCCAAACAAACGAGGAAAAAAAAAAGAACAAAAAAAAAGCCCCCAAACAGAACAAAATGGAAAAAAAAAATAAAAGATTTTCACAGATGAAGAAGTTCACATTCATTCGAGTCATTGAGCCTGCGGAGAGGGAAGAGATAGGAATTGGTCACTCTGGGGAGGGGAGGGGGGGGCGGGAGACGAGGGGGACGGCGGCAAGGAGGGGGCCAGGAAGCCCTGCTCCTCAGCCTGTGGTGAGCTCAGGCTGGAACCATGTGTTTGTAACTGTCTAGTCAAGTGCTCCGGGGACTCGGCTGAAGTCAGACCGGCTCCTTGATGGAGGAGGAGGGGAGAGAGTGACATGAGGACCAGGAGGAGAGAAGCGGGGCCGCAGAGGCAGAGAGCAGGGAGAGAGGGAGAGAAGCGCGCTCAGGGTTTGGGAGGGAGGAGGGGTGCCCTCTGTCTTCGGAAGGCAGGTGCTCTGGCGCATCACAACATGACAATCTCAGAGATCACGGTGTCCCCACAACACCCCTGTGAGGTAGGTTGGAAGGTGGCGACGATCGTCATGCCCACTTCACAGACAAAACCGGGACACAGAGGCAGGCGCGAGAGCAGAGGAGGCGGAGCCCAGGCGGGGCGGGAGGGGCCCTGGGGCCGGCCCCCTTGGCAAGCTCCCCGAGTCCCACCAGAGCCAGGGCTGACCCACGCTGGGGCCGCCTGCAACACAGTCACTTGGACACAAGGAAAAGATCGTGGGGTTAAAAATAAAAGAATGCAAAGAACAAAACCCAAAAAAGTAATGCAGAGAGGGGAAAACATCCGTTTTCTTCCCAAGTGGCCAGATTTTGAGTGAGCGAGTTAGCAGCCAGGACGGCGACCAACGTCTGTGCTGCTGGCCTGCCCCCCACCCCCAGGACTACCCACCAGTTCAACAGTTCGACCTTGTATGTGTTTCGCGCTTCCCCCGGCATCGCGACAGCGTGACACAGGAACAAGCGGGCCGGCGCAGGGAGGCCTCTTCGTTTAACCTCTGGACCCAGCGCACACTTCCCCAGCTCGTGGGGACTCCCGGAGACCTCTGGCCACACGGCCCCCGCTGCAGGCATCAAGGACACACCCCGCAGGGGAAGGGATTTCCGGCGCTACCCACTAAGGCAGGATGGACGGTGGCCGGGGGTTGGAAGGAAAAAGGAGGAGGAGGAGGGTGGCAATTCCCACTTGCCTGCTGCTGTCCCTGCTGTGTGGGTGGAGGCTGGGGGCCGCCAGGACCTGGAGTCTGTCCGTAGTAAGCGGCTTGCTGTCTGTAATATTCGGCCCAGGCGGCACTGTAGTCTGGCTGGGAGCCTGGGGGTGCTCCCGGACCCCCTCCGGTGGCCACTTGAGCTGCGGGCAAGCGGAGTCACGGTGAGGAGTGTGGCCGGGGGCTAGAGGGCCAGGCCCTGCCCCTGCCCTGCAGCCCCGGCGGCTCACCCTGCTTCTTGTAGTACTCCTCCCAGGCCTTCGTGTAGTCCTGCTGTGGGGGCGCTCCGGGCTGCTGGGGCTGCTGGCCTGCAGAAGGAAGGCCTCGAGAACTCAGAGCGTGGCACAGGGACGCGGCTGCCCCTCGCCAGCCTCGGGCTTGCGTGAGCCCCCGCGCTGGCCCACGCACTCACCGATCTTTTTGTAATACTCTTCCCAGGCCTTAGTGTAGTCCGACTGGCCGGCGGGTGGGGGCTGAGGGGGCTCGCCCTGGGCAGGGGGGGCCGCGGGGGCCGGTGCAGGGCCGGGCACAGGGCCTGGGGGCTGCTGGTAGTAGTGTGAGTAGTAGGCGGCCCAGGCGGCGTTGGGGTCTGCGGCGGCTGCAGCTTTATCTGGAGGAGGGCAGCGGGCTGAGGCGCAGGACCGGAAGCGAGCCCCGCCCTCCCCGCCGGCACCCCAGCACCCCTGCCCGGTCCTGCCCCTCCCCCGGGCAGCCAAACTTACTCGGGTCATGAGGAGCAGGTGGTTGCCACTGGGGGTAGGTATTGCCCCAGCCCTGGGGTGGGTACTGGTGAGGAGGGGGACCCCCCGCACTGTGGGACAAGAAAGACAGGACAAGTGAGCTGGGGCCACTCCTCCACGGGGGCAGGGGTGGCTGGCAGGAAGGAGACCCAGGCGGAGCCCACTGTGTATACTCAGTCACAGGCCCCTCGCCCAAGGAAACGTGAGATGAACAATGCCAAGCCTCAAACTCCGTTGGCTTGAAGATGTCCAAGTCCCCCAAATTCAACATACACGGGTCTGCCTGTTAGGCGGGAGACGAGGGTCAACATTTGTGACATCTTTTAAAAATGGCATCTATGCAGGTGCCTGGGTGGCTCAGTCATTAAGCATCTGCCTTCAGCTCGGGTCATGATCCCAGGGTCCTGGGCTCGAGCTCGCATTGGGCTCCCGGAATTCTCTTTCCCACTCCCTGTGCTTGTGTTCCCTCTCTCGCTATCAAATGATACATAAAATCTTAAAAAATAATAATGACAAAAATGGCATCTATAAATGCAGGATGCTATGCTGGATCACATCTTGGACGGGTGACATCAAAACTTCTTGTTGGTGGTGAATGAAAATGGGGTCCACTGCTCTTCCTGCCAGCACAGCACCCCCCATGTCCCAAATCCCAGGAAGCTGAGAGAATTACTCACTGCGGGGGAGCCCCAGGTGGCCCCTGATTGAAAGGCCCAGGGTTGAAGGGCCCCATGGGGCCTGCAGGGCCTGGTCCCCCTGGGCCTGGTCCAACTGGGCAGAGGGGACCCTGGAGAAAGGAGAAGCGAAGTCAGTTGGGAGGGAAGGAGACTGGAAATGGGTCCGGGCCCCAAGAGCCCCTCCCTGAGCCCACCTCAATCTTCTCCTCAATGAGCTGCTTGGCGTGGTCAATCTGCTGGGGTGAGCCCCGGATGATGAACAACTTGAAGTTGGGGTCCCCGTTGGGTGGCAGCTGCCGGGAGATCTCCACAAAGGCGCCCGTCTGCTGGTTTATGGCTTTCACGTTCTCCCCGCCTGCGGGGAGCCAGAGGCAGTGAAGGGAAGGCGGAGCAGAGGAAGGGGGCGGAGAGACAGAATGCCGATGGCGGACTCACCTCTGCCGATGACCAGCCCACACTTGTGAGTGGGGATGGAGAAGGTCATCTCTCCGCCAGGAGGCCCCCAGTTGCCTTGGCCCCTTCCTCGTCCCCGGCCCCCCGGGGGCATGCCAGGACCCCCTGGTGGGCCGGGGGGACCACTCTGTGAGACAGGAGACAGGCAATGAGCGCAGAAAACTAGCCTGGCGCCTGGAC